ATATCCTAAAGAATTAAAATGTAAAACAAAAATTAATTTCTATTTTATCAATAAAGTATAATGGATTATTTCTATTTTTGTTTTAGTTATAACTTAGAATATATATTTTCGTTAGTAAATCTAAGATATATTTACAATATATCAATATAAAATTTTAAATCATTAAAAAATATTTGTTCGTGAGCTAGCTCGCGGCTCGTCTGAGTTGGCTCGCTTAACTCGCCAACTCATTTAAGCTCGATCATTTAACTCGTTTACTAACTGAGCCTAAAAAATGTAGTTCGCGCTCATGAAAATCCGAGCGGAACTGAGCCAGCTCATGAGCTAATGACTCGTTTGACACCTCTACATATCTCTAGCATTTCCTTGTGGCTGGTCGTGCTCTTTCGTCGTATCGGATACTCATTTGTCCATTCGTGTGGTTGCCGTAGTATTATCTTAGTTGATGATTTAGTTATCGGTGGTAACTAGCTTTTGTCGCTATTTGAGAACGCTACTGGTATATCAAGACTTTTGGTTTGGTTCACGGCCTGATGTTTGCTTGTGTCTTCTTTTAAGTTGCTGTGTAGAGGTTGTTGTGTTGCTTAGTATGCGGGTTTGATTGTTTTTACTCTGTGCAACCGAGAAGCTAGTAAAGCCAATGGATGTTTTTCGTTGTGTTTAAAATTTTGATTTAGCTCTGTACTGCCTCGGAACTGGGTAGGGTGAACTTGCGTCTTTCGCTGATAATGGTTAGGGAAGTTTCTTCGAGGCATTAGCTCATGGTGTTTTGGCGATAATCGGCTCTCACATGACGCTAGGAGTATGTGATCGAGCGATTGGAGGGCATTTCCGTTGACGATGCTTTCTTGGGCCTCCACGGAAAGGCTTCTATTGTTGTGAGTTTTGGTATTTCATGTTCGTATGGTCTGCTTACGCATCTACTTCTCAAGTTTCGGATTGGTTTGAACAAGCGCATCATCATCACTTCGTCTGACTCCATTAACATTTGTGTTAGTGTCGAGTCGACGGACTGAAAACCATATGTTTCTATGTTTTTTAAACTTTTTTGCCATGAATTACATTGTATAGGGTTACAATCTCGATTGTAATCATGAACCATTCATTTTTAATGAAATATTTACCACTTAGAAAAAAAAAATCTCTATCATTTCGTATAATCGGATATATAATAATATATATCAAGATCCGGTTCAATTTTTTTTTCCAATTTAAAACCACTGTTCTTTTTTTCTCACTCACTCTTATAAAAAATATGTTGTTATCTAATCTAGTTCGCTTAACTCCTTTATTGCTTTAACAAAAA